TGAAGCATGTTCTCCTTGTCCCTGGACTATGTGCCAACCTTCTCTCTACCAAGGCATTGAGTGAGGCAGGGATGAAGATGGAGATGATGGGCACAAAGGTGTTCAAGGCAACTCTGGATAGGCGCGTGTTGTGGGACCTCCAAGGCGGCAAGGACATGCACCGGTCCATGTGGGAGATACCGGTGCTGCCATGGAAGGAGGCGGCTGCGCGCTTGGCTGCTGAAGCTGTAAGAGGAGGGCATGCAAGCCACGTAACCAGTGGAGGAGGTGGTGATGGCAGTGATGGTGGGCTGCTTGTGCATGGGGGGGGTGCGCTACCAAGTGTAACTCCTAGCACGGGTGAGACGGATTGGCTCACCGCACACCGTCGTTTTGGCCACGTGGCACTACCTCAGTTACAGCAGCTGTTTAAGGAGGAAAGAGTCAAGGGGCTGAGGATAAAAGGGGAGCCCAAGGAGGTGGGCTCATGTGAGACTTGCTTGACCAGCAAGTTCTCACGGTTTCCCTTCCATTTGGCGGTGGGGCAGTCAAGTGACCCGGTGGAGCTCGTGCATGTGGATCTTGTGGGGCCCATGAAGGTAAAGGGAGATGGTGGGGCCCTGTATTCCATGACTATGGTGGATGATTACACAAGGCTCACCTGGTCGTTTCCACTTGCAAAGAAGAGTGATGCTGCAAGGGTCATCATTGAAGAGTGGCTGCCCATGGTGGAGCGAGAGAGCGGCAAGCGGGTGAAGGCGATTCGTAGCGACCGTGGTGGGGAGTTTTTGGGAGCGGAGTTCCGGAGCTGGTTGAAGCGGCACGGCATCAAGCAGCAGCTCACCACGGCCTACAGCCCTCAGTCCAACGGCGTGACAGAGAGAGCGAACCGGACCATCATAGAGGGCGGGAGAACGATATTGGTGGACTCGGGTCTACCCTTGCGGTTCTGGCCCCTCGCTATTCGTCATGCTACTGTCATCAAGAACCGGGTGTTGACTCATGTGGGAGGTCAGCATTGGGTCCCTATGGAGAAGTGGAGTGGCAAGAAGCCCCTGGTGGATATGCTTCGTGTCTTCGGGTGCATGGGGCTCGTGCATGTCCCTAAGGAGAAGCGTGACAAGCTTCAAGCGGCGGCGGTGTGGGCTGTTCATTTGGGTCTTGCACGGGGGAGCAAGGGCTGGCTCATGTGGGACCCAAAATCCAACACTGTCTTCACCACCAGAGATGCCAAGTTCATGGAGGGGCTCATGTTCAAGGAGTGGTCGGAGCGGGGGAGGAGCAAGGTCACCATTCTGCTTGGAATAGAGGTGGGAACGAACGACCCACTTCTCATTCCCATCGAGTTCTTCTCATCTTCAGAGTTGACAGAGGTGTCACGTGACTTGGGAGGTGCTGAAGGGGAGGCAGCAGATGTGGAAGAAGTACTGCAGCAAGGGGAGGCCCCTGTAGCTGAGAGAGGTGATACCGAGGAGGAGGTGCAGCAGCCTATACCATCCCCTAAGCTTCCACCAAGGCGCACAACCCAAGGGAAGCGTGATGCTGTCCGTGGTGGAGCCAAGGAAGGAGCAGCCAAGGAGAGGCCCAAGAGAGCTGCCCACCCAAGGGATTTCCTCAAGTATGAAAGGCTTGGGGTTCCCAAGGCATTGCTGGTCCAGGAGGAGGAAGATGAGGAGGAGAAGGGAGCCGAGGGGGAGATGGAGCAGATTTGTTGCTTTGGCGTCAACTTACCTCATGAGCCGGCGTCAATGGAGGAAGCTCTCGCTGGAGATGATCGAGAGGCATGGCTGGCTTCAAGGGAGGATGAGTTCTAGAGCCACATGGAGAATGAAACGTGGACCCTTACTAATCTGCCCCCAGGAAGGAAGGCATTGGACTGCATGTGGGTGTTACGTGTGAAGACTGATGCGGAGGGGAGGTTGGAGAGGCGCAAGACAAGGCTTGTGATCAAAGGCTTTCAGCAGAAGGAGGGGATTGAATTTCAAGAGGTGTTTGCTCCTGTTGCCAAGGCTCCTATGCTCCGGTTGTTGCTAGCAGCCGCTGCCGTTTGTGGCTGGAAGGTGGAGCAAATGGATGTGAAGACGGCGTTCCTCTATGGCGTGGTAGATGAGGAGATCTACATGAAGCAGCCAGAGGGGTATGACGATGGGAGCGGACGTGTTTGCAGGCTCAACAAGGCCATCTATGGCCTCAAACAAGCTCCAAGGTGCTGGTATGCAAGGCTGGTGGAGGCGTTGGAGGCCCTTGGCTTCAAAGTTAGCGGGTGCGACGAGAGTCTCTTCATGACCGAGGGGGAGGAGGAGAAGGTATTTCTCCTTGTCTACGTCGATGACATCCTCCTCTTCTCTCCATCCCTGGAGAGGATCAAGGAGGTGCAAGGGAAGCTGAAGGAGACATTTCAATGCAAGGCCCTTGGACTAGTGGGGTATTACCTTGGTCTTCACGTGGAGCGGGACGAGGTGAAGGGATGGTTGAGGCTTCACGAACACAAGTACCTTGCAGCGATGGGGGAGAAGTATGGGCTGGAGGAAGGGAGGAGTGTGAAGACTCCTCTACCCTCAGGGTTTCAGCTGCACCTTGATGAAGAAGAGGGTGAGGTGTTGGAGTACGAGTTGCAGCGTCGGTTCCAGTCAATGGTGGGGAGCTTGATGTACGCTTCGGTCAACACTCGCCCCGACATTGCGTTTTCAGTTTCACAGCTCGCTCGTGTGGTGTCCAGGCCCCTTCAAGAGCACCTGGATGCAGCAGAGAGGCTGGTGAGGTACTGCATGGCAACCTCAAGGGTGGGGCTGCAATATTCAGTGCATGGGCAGCTGAAGCAAAAGGGAGTGGAGGAGGTGAGCACAAAGACTGGTGCACCTGCAAGGCGTGGGCACTTGTACCTCTCGTGTTTCACCGATGCTACCTGGGCAAGTGATATCAGTGATGCTACATCCCATGGTGGCTATATATGCTGTGTTGGAGGGAGTCCATTGAGCTGGAAGTCTAAGAAGCAAGGAGAGATAGCTCACTCATCAACGGAGAGCGAGTACATGGCGTTGTTTCATGGAGTGAAGGAGGTGGTTTGGATGAGGAGGTTGCTTGAGGAGTTGGGGCAGGAGCAAGAGGGTCCTACACCTGTGTTTTGTGATAGCCAAGGAGCAATTGCAATGGCGCGTAATGCTGTGCTCCATGGGCTGAACAAGCACATGTATATCAAGTGGCATTGGGTGAGGAAGGAGGTGAAGAAGGGCACCATCTCCTTGCACTACATCAACACTACCAAGCAACCTGCGGATTTCTTGACTAAGCGGCTTGCAGAGCATCAGCATTGGAGCTGTGCCACGTTGTGTGGCATGTCCTTCAACTAAGGGAGGCAGCTTCAGGGAGCAGCTAAGGGATGAATGAGAGCACGATGAGGGGGAGTTTGTTGTGCCAAAGCACTATAGTGGCACAGTCATCGCACTCCCATTCAACCTACAAGCCAGCTCAGCTTCTGGAATTTTGTGGGGCTTCAACATGTTTTCTTCACACCCTTAAAGTTTCAGAAGTTTTGAAGCAGTCTACAAGGCATGGCAACATTTTTAGTTTCAAGACCTATGGCATCCCGGAAGTGTGTGTTACTCTTTTTTGGTAACACCCGAGTTCACCATTTCGGATGCTGACTCATCTACCAAGCTCTGATTGGTCTGAAAATTGGTGTGGCAGTCCTTTGCCGTGTTGTCCAAGTTTTCACCGAGTTTCAGGACAACCCCGCATCGGAGCAGCACGTGACAGCTGTCGAAAGTTACTGTTCCGTAGTCATGGTGCACTGTTGGCAGCATTTCCCTTGCCACCCTTTCATTGTTGTCATGCCAATGGTGCAGGGACAGAGAATGAGACAAGAAGTACAGGTGGTCAAGTGGGACTCTAACACCCTCCTTTTGAGAAGTGTGGTCTTCCTGGAAGCAGCTTGCAAGAGGGTGCAAGTGGGAAGACAAGCTGACTCATGGTTGGCTTGACTCACTATTGGTAGCCTTGAGTACAGCTCTGAACATCCAAGTGTGGTTGGCTTTGTTGACCTAGCTAGGACGTTTCCCATCCTTCTCTAGCCTTTCTCCCCTAGGACTCAACCTTCTCTGAGTTCCCAGGATGATCCCAACCCCTTAAGAGTCCCCTAGGCAATGTTGTACTCACCTCTTCCTTGCATCAATGAAGCTACTCGTTTTTCAGCCGAGCTTACGTTTTTGTTCACTGCGTAGCGCATACACCTCTGATGAAAGCAAGCAATATACCGTTGGAAAGCAGACACTTGAAGCTATATTCTCTCCAAGTTTCGGTCTCGTATGTTATCGGAGCTGATCGTGACGGCATTTTGAACAGAGGCGGTTCGAAGTCATCAGATTCTGCTTAGGCGGTTTCAAGGGCATCCGCGACCCCTAAGTGGACTCTAGACTGTAACAGGCCATTCCCGAGCAATCCTCAAGGCGGACCTGGAACATGCTGGGGATGAGGATGGCATCTCCGACTGCAGTCTTGTTCATGAACCGATCCTGGAGATACTTCTAGATGGCGTTGGAGGTAGGGTAGTTATGGAACGTGTTGACAAGTTCTGTAGGGGTGGAGGCGATGAAGACGCTGATTATAGCAGCATCGGCCTTCTCCCATTTCCGGTACTTCTCAACGGCTTCCTCATATGCCCTTGTGTCAGCCTCACTAGCGGATTTGGTCGGCTCACGAGGGAGAAGGGGCTGTTTTCCCTTGCCATGGTTGAGGAGGACATCCTTGAGGTCCAATCCTTGCAAGTCACGGCTCAGCAGGTGCTTGTCAACCCCATAGCTCCATGCCTTGAAGTTGGGGCTAGAGCCATCGGCTTCAAGACGAAGTGGGGTGATGGGGTTGGCCATGGTGGACGCGGTGAAGGCCATGCTGGAGATCCCTTGGTGTTTCGCGCGAAGCGCCGCTCTTAAATTGGCCAACTTCCGTAGATCTAACCCTAATCCCACACACCCCCCCAGACACCACCCTCAGCTTCGCGGTTACGCTGTTGCACGGCTTCGCGGCTACTCTGCTGCTTGGCTGCGCTGCTGCACTGCTGCTCGGCTGCGCTGCTGCACCTGTTCAGCTGCGGGAAAAGGGGAATGGGGGTAGAAGTGCAGATGCGGGGCGACGGGCGGCGGCCCGACGCGAAGTTGCGGGGCGACGGGCGGCGGCCCGACGAGAAGCTGCGGGGCGACGGGCGGCGGCCCGACGAGAAGTTGCAGGGCGACGGGCGGCGGCCCGACGAGAAGCTGCGGGGCGACGGGCGGTGGCCCGACGGGAAGCTGCGGGGCGACGGGCGGCGGCTCGACGAGAAGAGGTGACGCGGTGACGAAATTGAGAGATGACGAAAAAGGAACTATAAGTTAGAGCGACGTCGATGAGCGTACCATAGAAATTGAAGACGTCGTCAAAGTTGACGGGAAAGTGGTGCGGGGGAATTTCCGCCCACGAATGTCGCGAATCGACGGCGACGAGATTGAAGGAGGCTATGCCGAGGTTTGCGGGAAGAACATCCGCATAGATAGACATGAGCAACGAGCGAACCGAACACGTTTGACTCGAACAGTTGACGAACACTTGGTCAACTCGAACCGAACCGAACACGTTTGTCACAAACAATTTTCGTAAATGTTAGTGTTCCCCGTTCGAGTATAGTGTCGAACAGTTTTGAGGCATGGCCGAACACTAAGGTGTTTGGCACGAACTCGAACAGTTTGCCACGAACTCGAACAGTTTGCCATGGGGGGTACTTTCTATTATAATCACATTCAGTGCATGTAAGAAACTCAGGGCGTGTGTTCTACAAGCAAAATCAGAATGTAAATAAAGGTAGCAGCGAAGATCCGCAATGTCTCGCACACATGGTCCAGTGAAATATGGATAAATAAGTCAACAGCTCAAAGTTCAGGGCAACGACAAGTCAAGGACATGCAAAACAAAGCCAGACAGCACCAAGTCCCCATGCAACTCCCTCACTTAACTCCAGTTCCTCCTCCCACAGCAACAGCCTCCTCCTCATCCCCCTCATCTAGCCCCTCTCCCTTCAGCGCCAACTCTGGTGGTGCCTGCTCTCCGCTGCGGCCGGGTTCCTCACCAATACTCTTCCCAGGGTGTGACGTGTACCATGACCTGAGAGTCATGCTCGCGCTAACACGCTCAGTGTTCAGCCTGTGCCTGTGCAAGGAGATGAGGTTCCTCCCCATGGAGAAAGCTCGCTCGCTAGCTGCAGAGGTGGCGGGGATAGCGAGGTAATCCCGTGCCATCTGCCTCAACGTGTCCATGTTCCTCGCACGCTGCCAGTACTACAGTGCTGGCACGTCCGAGACAGGCAGCTCCGCTAAGTACCGATCCACCTCATCCCCCACCGACGTCCCCCCTCCCCCCGCTCTCGCCGCTGCGCTAGCTAAAACACGCTTCTGCAGCTGTGCCCTAGAGAACACAAACTCGTCGTCGTCGTCCTCGAACGGTGTCACCACTGCTGCTGCTAGTGCTGGTGGTGGGGTGGGAGCTTCACGTGCTGCTCGAGCTTGGTACTCCTCCACTCGGCGGCGCACCAAGCTCACCACCCTGTCCGCACTCATACGTGGCTTAAGCCGCCCACCGTCACGTGCCACTATGCCTGGATGCATCAGCTCCCAGTGTGTCATCCTGAAGTACTCGGCCTTCATGGACGGATCCAAGAAGGTCGCGATCCAGTACTCGTCCCCGATGGCAAACTCGTACTGCTTCAGGTGCCCCAGCGCGGCAGACATGAGTGGACGAACTAGTTCATGCATCCCTGTGTGCAGCTTCTTCTCCAGGCTGTCGATGAGGGCGTAGAAGTAAGGCAGCACCATCGACACAGTGGGGTAGGTCGACCCCTCGGTGGCCGTGGAGACTCTGGCAAAGGGACGGAGAAACCCCTCCAAAGCCCCCAAGGCCTCCCACTCGACATCGGTCACACGCAAACCTCGCCACTTCTCCTTCTCTTCCTTCGTGGTGCCCTGTTGATTAGGTGAGGGCGCAAGATTGGGTTGGATGACATTGAGTACATGTGCTTAGGCTTGGGGAACGGTTGGAACGTAGTGGATTCTGACAATCTTCAAAGCAACAGCTCTTACGCGTCCAATCAACACAGATTGCAATGGATACGAATGGAGCCGTACCTGCTCGCGGGCAAAGTGCATGTCGATGAAGGGCCTCAGCAGCAAGAAGCGCTTAACCATCTCGTGTGTGGACCCCCACCGCGTAGGACTGTCCTGAACGAGCTTGTGCGGCCCATTGGGCAGCACTCCATGCCGAACCTGCAGCGCAATGAAGGCGGCTCCTCGCTGGGGCGACATGCCCACCCACGTAGTAATCTCCCGCACCTTCTTCAGGGGCACCGTCATCGACTCCACACCCAGCCCAGACTGCACTGCCAGGTTCACAATGTGCGACAGGCACCTGCGTTGGATCGGAGGGGTTTAGGGCTTCAAACCGGCGAACGTGGTTACAAGGGTGTTATGGTGCGGACAGAAGCAAAAGGGACCAGGTTTAGGAACTTGGAATCCAGCTACAAGACGGACCTGTAGTGCGCCTTCTCGCTGAAGTACCCCGAGAATTCACCCTCCTCCGCCAGGTGCCGAAGAGCAACTACGTTTGCAGACGCATTGTCGGTCGTGAGACCGAGGCAACGCGTCTGCAACTTCCACTGCACCACCACCTTCTCCACCGCCTTAGCAATTTCCTTCCCCCCATGCCTGCCAGGCATCTCGACGAAAGCAAGAATCACCTGGCGCAACTCCCACTGTACTGACACGAAGTGACCTGTCAGCACCATGTAGGCCTTGCCGTTCGGGCCTGTCCACATGTCGGTGCTGTACGACACGGCACAGGTTGTAGAGGCCAGCTCTGCAATCGCTGCCTCGAGCGCCAAGTCAGCAAGGACAACGGTGTCGCGCGCCACCGTCCAGCGTGATGGGATAACGCCCTTTTCCCCACACTTTTCGTTCAGCAGGATCAGCAGCTCCTTGAACTGGTGTTATATATACAAGCACGAGAAGGGGCGAATAAGGTGGACATCAATTCATGATGCCATGATGGCTGGCTGTACTGCAATGAAGTAGCACGTGCGGCCAGCAATCTCAATCCATCAAAGCACAACGAATAGGAGGGGGGGTGAACGCTTTCTCACCGCATCCAGCTCGACGATGCGAAAGGGCAAGTCGCCGGTCACCACAAGCTTCGTGATCGCTGCACGAAGCTTCAGCTTACTCAACCTCGCTGTAACAAAGCGCTCAATGCCGCCTGCCTCACCCTTCGCGCTCGGGGTCTGCACCACCGGCAACTTGGGCCACGAGGCCACGTGTGGCCAATTCACCACCTTCCTGTCGGGAACTCCATCGTAGCCACCCTCCGGGAAAGTCTCCCCCTTAGTCAGTAGGTGTGGTCTTAGGGACCTATACTGCCAAATGTCGTGGTGCGCCGTGTGCTTCGCAACCATGTGGCGCACCCCTGGAGTCGTAGTGCCCGTCGACCAACTGATACGAGTGTCGCACATCTTACACTTGCGCTTCTCATCCGCCCCCAATGGCCCGAACATCTGGACCTGCCAACCCGGGGCCTTCTTACACCCTTTTGTGGCCTTTAAAGGCCCATCATTCTCATCTACCGACGCGGCCATACCATCCTCTCCCCTCCCCCTCCTCCTGAACTTCTATGCCTTTACCCTTGCCCTTTTTCTTCCCGTTCCCCTTGCCTTTGGCCTTCCCCTTGGCATTCCCCTTGGCCTTCCCCTTGGCCTTCCCCTTGGCCTTCCCCTTGGCCTTCCTCTTAGCCTTCCCTGGCTGGGACACCTCCTCCTCCTCCTCCTCCTCCTCCTCCTCCTCCTCCTCCTCCTCCTCCTCCTCCTCCTCCTCCTCCTCCTCCTCCTCAGCCTCCTCACCACTACCCTCTCTCTCTCCCTCCTCCACCTCCTCCTCCTCCTCCTCCTCCTCCTCCTCCTCCTCCTCCTCCTCCTCCTCCTCCTCTTCCTCCTCCTCCTCCTCCTCCTCCTCCTCCTCCTCCTCCTCCTCCTCCTCCTCCTCCTCCTCCTCCTCCTCCTCCTCCTCCTCACCCTTCTCCTCCTCCTCCTCGTCGTCATCCCTCAACCCCGCGCAATCCCCATCTTTCTTCGGATCATAATCCTTGTCGGTGCTATCGGATGGACTACGTTGGATGCGTGGGCGCTTCTTTTCCAGCCGCCACTCTCCAGCCAATCCCTTTGGCTCCCCCCCCCCCCCACCACCCTTGACCTTCCCCCCCCCCCCTTCCGCATCCTCCTCGGCCTCCTCTGAAATCTCTTCGATCTCATCACGAGACTTCCCATACCGATGTGAGGGTGCAGCCAGCCCCCCGCCACTAAACCTGTAGCTTTTTGGTGACGTGGGGACTCCTAGGTATTGCCCCCCCTATGAGCTCGAGAGGTGCGAGAGGGCTTGCGGTCCCAGTTGCAGTATCTAGTAGTGCGGATGGGCCAGGAATGGCCTTGTCTTGGCTGCTAACCAACCCTACATCAACCATTTCTGAATCCATCCGCCTTGCTAAACTCTTTGCTAAAACGAAATGCTCTTGAATTCTGTTTTTAAACGTTTCCTAACCTAATCTACCCTTATACTTAACGTTTCTAGCCTCAATGTGGACTTTAAACAGTGGGAGTGGTGCAGTTTAAATGGGTAGTGGGCGGAATGCTATCCTAACTGGAAATTGATGATTGAGCCCAAGAATGAGCTCAATCGTCGCTTTCCCCTTTTAGATCCAACCAGCGCGTCAATTTTTGACGCGCTGGATTTCGACGAACACCTCGGTGTTCGCCCGCGAACACAAAGTGTTCGCGAACACCTAGGTGTTCGTGCATTTTTTTGCATGAACCGCAACGAACACTCGAACATGTTCGTGACGAACACTCGAACATGTTCGTGACGAACACCTAGGTGTTCGTCACGAACATTTTTGGGCAAAAAAAAACCCCTGTTCGGTTCGAGTCGAACACGTTCGACTCGAACCGAACAGGGGTTCGGGAATTTGCTCATGTCTACGCATAGATAGGAGGATCACGATCCGCATGTGCGGATGTAGAGCTCTGATACCATGTGAGAACTTAGGCTTAGAAGCGATACATTAGTAATGAGCTTGAAGCTCTTTAAGTACATCCAAGAAGGGTAAGGAATAGTTGGGGAAGGGAATCAGAGGCAATCCCTAGGGATTGGGGGTAATCCCAAGGCAATCTCCAATTGGTGGGTTGGAGATTGCTTGGAGATTACAATTGGGTTTGGTTGGGATGTAGGTGTACACCCAACCAAACACAATGTGCAAAATACACTACTTTAGGATATAGAAAACACAAAGCACAAAGTGTGAGATTGAAGGCTAACACTAACAGGTGCACATCATGTGGATTTCAGGCCGAGAGTAAATTTACTGGACGAGATTAAAGATAATAACGAGTGTAGCTCGTGCACGGGCAAAGGAAGGCGTGGTCTGTCTGTGAAACTCAAACGCCTGTTTGAATGGAAATTGGACTGAATCTCAGCTTTAGAGTATCGCGGTTGCAAGTACTTTCGTTCAATGAGTACCAGTGCAGTCTCCAGACGCAGACGCCAAGGAGCGGTGCGCCCCATTCAATGACCGCTCAGCCCTGTACTTGAGATGAGAGTTACTCAAAAGTCAACCATTCGGTGACCGCTCAGCCCTGTACTTGAGAAATGAGAGTTGGGCTTTAAGCTCTCTTCTCGGCAAAGGGAACCTTACCTGCGTTGAATGAGTACGAGTGTAGCTCCAGACGCAGAAGCCAAGGAATGGGGCGTATTCGGTGGGAGATACACATAGGAGTCGCCCTGAGTGCAGAAGGTGCAAGGCAAATTGGTACAGATAGGGGAGGAGGGGAGTGGGATTGGATTTGATTGGAAGCAGACTGAAAAAAAGAGTGGGAGGTGGCAGATACACATAGGATTCGTCCTGAGTGCAGGAGGTGCAAGGCAATTTGGTGCAGATGGGGGAGGAGAAGGGGATGATTTGTTTGGAATCAGAGTTGCAAACACATCGGGGGGTATTCAGTGGCAAACCCACATGGGAGTCGCTCTAAATGAAGTAGGTGCAAGACGAGTTGGTACGAATGTGTGTGTCTTGGGGTGAGGGGGGTGAGGGGGGAGGTAGGGGTTGCATGAGGTAAAAAGCTTCTGGGTGATGTTTCTTTCCTCTCTTTTCTTTTTGGTGAAACCCTTAAGCCCATGTGCGTACCGTAAGATCCTCCTGCAAAACAACGGATCTTGCACAGGTGCTCACAGCATCACTAACCGTCGAGCACTGATTGGCCACACCTCCTTCATTGGTCTCTCCTGGGGTCCCGTACTGAGTGAAGCTGACTTGCCCTGATACCACAAACACAAACCTGCAGCAACATAGCAATAAAAGAAGGCAGGCAGGAATTTAAGAAGGGAGGCAGGCTGCCAATCTCAAGGGTATCTCTCTTGAGAAGTGCAATTTGTTACAATGTGGCTCTCATCAGAGTAGTCGCACACGCTAATATTTTTTTCTTATCTGTCAGAGTCTGCTTCATGCGTCCGATTTGCGTGATTGCTCACCTTGTTTCACCTCCTTGTCTCTCTTCCCACGCCTCTCACCTACATGCCCATAACCCCCATGCCTCTCATCCCCATCCATCTCAGCCCCATGCCTCTCACCCCCATGCTTCTCACTTCCATCAATAATCACCTACATGCCTGCCTGCTTCGCTCACCTCTCCACTCCAGCCACTGGAGGGGCGGAAGAGGCATTGCCTGAAACAGCGAGCCGAGAGAGAATAACAAGCGAGGGATTTTTAGAAGGGAGGGAGAAATCTGTCAAGGTACAGTGCGGTAAAGATAGAGATTGAAACCGCATGTGCTAAATCAAACCCAGAGTGAATAACAGGAATATCAGATGTGGAACGCACAGAAAGAAGAGGGGAAAAGGGTGAAGGAACTTGATTCGGCGTAGGGCGGCTCGGCAGGAGCGACCACATGGTGTGCGACTAAGAGGAGGGGAATCGCAACCTTAGAGCCGAAGCTGATAGAGGAATTGGTACCTTAGAGCTGAAGCTGATAGAGGAATTGGCACCTGACAGCCGAAGCAGGGACATGGCGAAGTGTGCACCGATGGCAGGGGTAACGAGATGTGCTGAGAGAGTGTTTTCCCTGCAGGATGGTGATGGAGGGTGAGGGAGGCGAGATGTACAGAGTTGGAAATTCATCCCACCGCCGCCCCAAATTTACAAATTCGCATACTGGCAAAGGTCTACTCTCATGCACAATTTCTCACCCATCCAGATTGGCATCTTGAAAATTCAACGGTTTACAGTTTACTCCCCAGAAAGGGATCTCACCCACCCATCAAATTCACTCACATATTTGCAGACTCAAGGATACCCATATATCCCGGTTTACTCGCTGGAAAGTCAACGTTATTGTGTGATGGAGGTAGGGTTTCTCGCAACCGTGCTGCTAGGTCGACTTAAGTCAAACTATATCTACTCAGGGGTCATTTTGGGTTACCCAAAACCAACCATCCAGGCAGCAGGCTGAAGACTCGGCTTTCTGGTGTGATCAGGGCATGGTCCCTCGCCACCACGCTGCGAGTGAATCCGGGCAGGTCTGGAAAGGAGAAAAAAGGCGTAACAAAACCAGTAAGGAAACACATCTGTTCTGATGCATGCAGAGATGACAATATGAAACAGAAAGGACCTCATCCCGTAAGTGAGAGTATTATTGCATCGTTTTTAATTCGAAAACCAATACCACGAAAATAATGCAAGAACTTGAATACAAGACGCGCAAAAGCGATCCTGTAGGGATCCGAAACAGAGGCACGCACCTTCCATGTGGACCGTGTCTAGGGTGGGTTCCAGAACCTTCTCATACATGCCATTACCGCTCCCTGTGCCTGTCAATACAGGACGACAGGATATAAGTGCAAGAATGTATTGCAATGTGACGTTAAAGTAGACTTAGAAGTCAGACAACGTTACCAGGCCATTCCCTGTCGTCCTTACTACCTGCCATCATCTTCAGAAGCAAATGCCATCTTGCGTGTGGCGTGTTTGGTGTCTTTTCATGCCTAATTAATTTGCTGTGCCCTTGACTTACCCCGTCCCAACCCCTTCCCCCGGCCATACCACCAACGTTGTCTGTTTCCGACCATCAGAAACATCTTCTTTCTAGCGAATGGTGTGTTTGGCTGCGTCTGTTCTATCCTGACTGCATTGACATGCCCCGAAACCAACCACCCCACCTCAACTCCTCCCCTCACCCCACCTCCACTCCCACTCCCTTCCTTCAGAAACATTTGCTTTCTGGCGTATGGTGTGTTTGGAGTCTGTTCTATCCTGGCAGGCGAAATTACCCGCAGCAAAGTCATCGCTGCGATCATTGGTGTGTGTTAGGTCATGCCTTGTTGTCATAACTGCCATGCCATCGTAGGTGTGTTAGGTCATACCCTGTTATTATACCTCCTGTGTTGTCGTCTCTTGAAGCGTCTCATCTCAGGACAACAAGCGCTTATCTTCATAGCTCTACGAATCCATGCTCTCTCCTCACCTCACTCTTAAGCAGTAACACAAGAATCAGTCACCTTGTTTCTCACAAGGGGTCCTTTGCATTGGTATGATCAAGTGCTTACCTCCTCTTATCCCCTCCCTCCTCACTCCCCCCCCCCCCCCCCCCCCCCCCTCTCCTCGCCCAATATCTTCTCCCCCTCCCCCCATCCCCAGTGGCTCACAGTCTACTTTCACCGCCAGTGCGCGCTGCTCCTCTTCTTCCTCGTCATCCTCCTCGTCCTCTCCTGCTTCCTCCTCTACCACCTCCACCTCGTCGTTACCAACGTCACCACCAACGAGGTTCGTAGGTACACATTGTGTACCAACACCCCCCCCTTCTCTTCCCCTCCACACACACATGTACGTCATTATTGTCATCCTCGTCATCCTCTCGTTCTGCTGCCAGGTTGTCCAGATACGTTTGAAGGGAGAGTCGTTTGTAGAAAATGACATCACGTGCTGCTACTGTTTCCTTCGAGTGGACGTCGAAAATCTTCCATGTGTTGTAATGATTTTCGATGCCTAGGTGTAGCCCCCACTGTGCGCGCTGTGAAAATCTTTCGGCCCTTGTGCGGTCGGTACTGTACCATGCACCAAAAAACTCGTAACATTTTTGTGTTGCCCAGTTTTCCTGTCCACAGCAGGTGCGGTGATGCGTTGTTCGGGAGCGAGGATGACGAAAGCAAGTTGTGCAACAAGACGGCGTGGTCCATCGCCTCAAGCCATTGGCTGTTTGGCAGTCGCATGCCACGTAACAGTTTGCGCATGGTGTTCTGGAGGGTTCTGTTCATCCGTTCTACCACGCCTTGCTGTTGATGGGCGTAGGGAAGTGAGATGAGTCGTTTGATGCCTCGTTCTGCTAGGTACTGCTTGAACCTTTGTGACTGATATTCTCCTCCCCCGTCTGATTGGAAGCTTTTCAGCTTCACTCCTGATTCTCGTTCTGCCACAGGTAGCCAGGCGATGAAGGCTTTGAAGGCCATGTCGCGACTTGGAAGGTTGAGATGCCAGACGTATCGGGTAGCGGCGTCGATAAAAGTGATGACATAGTTGTATGCTCCTTGTTCGTGTTCGCGGGCATACAAGATGTCGCTGTAGAATTTCTCCAATGGTGCGTAAACTGGCGCGCTCGGATTGTGGTGAGAGACAAACGGTTGATGAGGTAAGTCTGCTTCGGGGCAGGTAAAACATGTACCTCGGACTCGTTGAAGCTCTTTGCCATCGGTTAGAAGTAGGGAGTCTTTGTCGAGTACTCTTGCCCTGATCGTGTTGTTTAACATTGTGTTGCTTGGGTGACCCAATCTTTCGTGCCACAGTGATTCGCTCGCGCGGTGTCCTGGTGAGTGCCTGTATAGGTCGGAATTGGAATAGAAGCCGGTGGTGAAATTGGCGGTTTTCTCGTGGAGTGGGAGTCAACTGCTGAGCGGAAGTCGGTGGCATGTCGTCGATGGGGACCAGTGTTGTTGAAGGACCAGCGAGTGGTGTCATAGTTGTTGTTGCTGCTACCGATGTTGTCTCTGCTGCTGCCAATGTTGTCTCTGTTTGCCGAATTGTTGCTAACGCTCTTGTTCTTTCTGCTTCAGGTATGGTGTGTGAGTACCAAAATCCCCCAGGACTGAAGTCGGGGTCGAGATCTGGCGGATGTGTCCAAGTGGTGAAGTTGACAATGGCGTCGCTGTCGGCGGTGCCTTGGTCTGGAACGAAGTCAAGGACGAAGACATTGTTCTTCAAGACTGCCTTGCCAATGTAGAGTCCACCTCTCCCGTGGTACAGCTTGAACTCCTGAGTGGTGCTGTCTGCTTCGAGATGAATTCCCTTCGCCATTAGTTGTCTGACGCTGAGTAAGTTATAACCGAGTCCTTCTGCGATTAAAACCTTCGACATTTGCAGAATAACGTTGGTTTCTCGAGATTGAAGTTGAACTATCCCTTGTCGTTTGTGTGCAGGTTCTGGTTGTTGGCGATGGTGATTACGACTTCGCGCTGAAGTTGGTGTTCTCGTTGAACGAAGCGACCCGAGGAGCACATGTGCTGTCTACAGAAGCTGTCCAAGAACCAGATGTCTTTCCCGGACGGCTCGCTCTGGGCGATGGCTGCATACGTCGGGTTGGGCTCCAGTGATTCGCGGCGAGGAGTGCTCTCGTCGAGCTGTTTTTCTGGTGAGTAGTACGGTGGCGATCCGGTGATGCAGGAGTCTGTCATTCTTGTTATGCAGCTCACGATGTTTCTTGTACCTTGTGCAGGTTTTGTCGTCAATGTCGTTGAGGACTATACTTGATTGGTGGGATGCGCTTGTGTAGAAGCCACTTGACTACTTGAGAGCCGAAGTTGACGTTGCGACGACGTTGACTGCTGCTGATTCGGGCACTGAGTGCGAGGGTGTCCCGACGTCTTGCAGAGATGGCAGAACGGCGGTACGTATTGTTGAGCTTGATGTTTGTTTTGTCGATTGTTGTTGTTGTTGTAACGCCGTTGAGTATGAAACGCGAACTCAGGTGCTGACGCTCTTTTCTTGTGTCTTTCTTCATGTAGGTCCATGTCCTGCTGCTCAGCATGTATCTCAGCGCAGAGGGCTGCTTCGGAGATTTTTCCGTGGGCTCAGAGAATGGCTCAAGTGGAGCGCCAATGAGGACCGAGGCCAGTGATGACGACTGTAACGAAGGCTTCTTCAGATATCGATCCACCGCATCGAAGGAGTCTATCGCGTAGTCCGCGACAATGGCTGATATAAGCCATTCCCTTTTCGCCTGGTTTCATTTCCACTGTTGTCAGTTGTGCCATAAGATGACTCTGATTAACGCTGTCTGTTGCCTGATACAGATTCTTTAGGTGGTTGTACGCGAGCTCGGCGGAGTTGCCGTATCCACGATAGGACCGGATGTTTTGCTGCTCGTTCGGCGTTAAATTTCGTAGAAGTATCGTGTATGCCATCAGCGACTGATATGTGTACTGCTGCTTGTCATATTGTGTCCCGTGTGTTGGGTATGGTAGGGACCCGTCGAAGAATCCAAGAATTTGCGCGCCCTCCATCATCAGCTCGAACTCGAATGACCAAGTATAGAAGCCTCTTCCGTCGAAAGGCGTTGACGTTTGCAGTCTTAAAACATGTGCGAATTGTGACTGTATCTGAAGCGTGTCCAGTGTCTTCTCTTGTCCAGGTGAAGTCTGGTGTGGCATGAAGCTGATGGAGCCGCGTTGGGGCTCGTACGGAGTGAAGGTAGGTTGTTGCTGGTTTCTGCGCGCGTAGGATGAGCCGTCGAGACTCATGGGTGTGACATCGTTGTTGTTGTTGCTGTTGTTTGACTGCGCAAGTGTTGTTTGCTGGTGTTGCTAGTAGAAGGACATGAAGGAGAAAAAAATCTCCATCATGCTTGGGTCGAAACCTGTTGTTTGATTCGCGGGAGTTTTGGTAGACTTCGCAGCTGGTCTTGTTGCTGTGCCTTCCTCTGTCTGTAGGCCAGAGGCTGGGGGTGGAGTAGGAGTAGTTGATCTTGCCTTCGAGGCTCTCATACCATGTTGGGCTAAGAAAAAGCCCTTAGGATATTTTCAAGGCTAAGACCTTGGGTAGAGATGTTGTAATTGCGGAAGCGTATAGTGAGTTTGTCGAACCACCTTGCACTAGTCTGTGAGAGCAAGATAGATTGATTATGGCGAGGTAATACAAGATCTCTTATAGGATTACAAGGAATATGAAAAGGTGCAACTAATTGTTTTGCTGTTGCAGTTCAATACAGTGACGACTCGGGCAACTGCTCAATACCGAGTCAGTTGTTTGTCCTTGATGTCGCGCTGTATTTCGTCGAGTCAAGGGTCGCTGACCTTTGACCTTCCCGTAACTTCCAGCTGTTACGTTTTGTTAACCTCCTTGGTTGACTCACTTGTTGCTTCACTGTAGTCTGCTTCGTTCGTGTTATTACTTCGATACTTCAGAAGTGCCAATTACGTGTTGCCAACAGTTATAATAGCAAGGCAGTACACTGATCACAACCTAGCAAGAGTAAACAAGTCGGTATGAAGATATACATCAGTGTACAACAAGAGAAAGTCAAGCAACCAGCAGGTGAGGCAGAGTGGGCACAAGCCCAAGAGCAATGCAGAAAAGCTGATGATCACCAGACCCAAGCAGGGACGTTGCTAGTCAAAAACCCCCTCCGAAAATCAGACCGGGTTTTTTTCCTTCGTCTGACCGTTAGACGATTTTTTTTGGCTGGTCTGGAAATTCAGACGAAATATAAATCGTAGTCTGTAAATCCAGATGAAAACAAAACGCAAGTCTATAAGTATTGGAATCGAAATGTAGAGCATCAGTTTGTCAATATAGCGCATACCTTAATAGTGGAGAAATTTCTAGATTCTCGATAGGTGTTGGGAAGATCTACTGTGGGAGGATGTGAGACAGTGGAGGATCTCCCCCTAGGCAGCAGGAAAGATCCTCTGACACAAAATGTAATCTGACGCAAATGTGTCAGACGAGATTTTGACGCGTCAGCGTCGGATTCGCGCGGAAAAACAGGGGGCTACTGCTGGGGTGTATTGTCAGTGTGAGACGAAAATATCCTTGCAGTCTGTGAACTCAGACGAAGTGTACAAGCTAGTCTGAAAAATCAGACGAATGTATTTTGCATTTCTGATGTTTCAGATGAAACAAAAATCACAGTCTACAAATTCAGATGAACACAAAAAAACGAGTCTGATTTTCAGACCATCAGATGGATTTTGTCTGATGTCGGCGTCCCTGGACCCAAGGGCCTTGGTGAAGACATCAGCTCTGTTGGCCCGCAAGGCCACGTAGGAAAGGCGGAGCTGACGACGATGCTGCAGCTCACGCACAAGGAAGTAGCGAAGAGCAATGTGCTTCGTTCTGTGCTCCAGTCTCTGCTCGTGACACAAGGCAATCATTGCCTTGTTGTCGACGTACAGAACTGGAGGAGAACGAGGCCGCTCCCCCAAGTCGGTCAGCAGGTAGGTCAGCCAGCGTAGCTCCTGTGCAGCCATGGCCCCAGCGTAGATCTCAGCCTCACAACTGGAACTAAGCACATAAGAAGAACGAGTGGACCTCCATGAGACAGAACCAGGGCCAAGACTGAAGGTGTAACCCTGTGACGAATGCTGAGTCGCCTGGTCGTTGGCCCAAGAAGTGTCGGAGTGTCCTGTGCGTACCACTGAACCATGTCCTCCAAGAACGAGCCCCATGCCCGATGTACTACACAAGTAACGCAGTACCCTCTTCGCAGCATCCCAGTGCACCTTTCGGTGTCTATCGGGAGCCACGTAGCGAGCCAGGAGGCTGAGAGGGTACACGAGGTCAGGTCGTGTGCACATCATCAGGTACATGAGGAAACCCACAAGCTCTGGGTACGGACCACTCGGCTCTACGGACTCGTCCGAAGGTGGAGCTGAGAGCGAGTGGCCGGTAGACAGAGGAGTGGGCTGTGGCGAGGAGAACTAGAAGCCGAAGCGCTGAAGGACTTGGTGCACCATGTGTGACTGAGTCAGGGTGATGGTGCGCCGTGCTCTGTCCCGGGTGATCTGCAAGCCAAGATAGTTACGCAGCTCACCTAGGTCAGTGCAGGTGTGTCTCTCCTGCAACTCCACCTTCACTAAGGCCAGCGCCTCACTGTCAGCAGTAGCAAAAACCAAGTCTTCGACATACACTAGAACGTAGAACGGCGTCAGGGTAGTGTCGGTGCGTAGAAACAGCGACGGGTCAGCAGAGGAAGGAGCAAACCCAAGAGCCGCAAGTGTAGTCCTCAGTGTGTCGTGCCACTCTCGGGGCGCCTGGCGGAGACCGTAGACTAGCCGTCGGAGGCTCTACTGGGTACCCACAGGAAACGACCCAGTGAAGCCGGGTGGGCGGCGCAGCCAGATCTCCTCGTGAAAGCTGCCCTGCAGGAAAGCTGTGGAGAAGTCGAGGGAGTGCAGCTCGTAGTCACGCTGTGCTGCAACGTGCAGCAGCACCCGAAGAGTAGTCATCTTTGGGGTAGGGGGGAAGGTCTGGAAGAAGTCGACCCCATGTCGCTGACTGAAGCCTCGAGCAACGTAACGCGCCTTGAAGGCAGGCGGAGAACCCGGCGGCCGCTTCACTCTGAAGATCCACATGCCATCGACTATGTTCGCCCCGGGAGGAGGAACCTCATCGATGTAGGGGCCTGTGGACTTCCAGCAAGACACTCAAGCTCAAACAGTCTGTCCTCAAGTACGTCACTGCCAAGGGAAAGCTCACCCCCGATGGACGGAGGACAATCAAACTCAGACTCAGTGACAAGACTCGCGACGTAGTCGAGACGACTCCTAGCTGCAAAGTCGACTACCTCAGTGACTAGGGCAAACGCTGCAGTAGACTCAAGGTCAGGGTCAGTGACGACAGTAGCGGGGAGACGAGTGATAGTAGGACTAGCAGCACAAGCAAGGTCGGACTCAGGGTCAGGAACGTGCGGAAAAGAGGACGCGGGAGGCTCAGGCAGGACAACACGCTGTGGAACGGAGGAAGGTCGAAGTGCCATACCGTGAGTGCCTGGGACAGCAGGAGGACGAGGACGGGCGACACGACGAGCACGAACAGGTGTGGAAGTACGAGTCTCAGACTCACGACACTCAGTCACCTCAGTGTGAGGAACAGGCACAGGCAGCGGGGAGCCAGGCAGTAGCTGAGGCTGAGACTGGTCTGTCGGTGGACACAGGAGGGGTAGAGGGAGGCCAGTGGAAGACGGGAGACTAAGAACCTGGCGAAGAACCTGCGTCTCGTCCTGTCTCGCCTGTTTGCACTTCTCGTCGCGCTCCTCGTTCGCGTCCTCCTCCTGTACCCAACACACACACTATGGCACTCCGTCCTTCCTCTGTTCCACTGCGTGTTCCTCTGCCTGCTCCTCCGGAGTCCTCTCTTCCTGAGGTCCCTGACCCTGAGTCTGACCGCGCTCGTGCTGCCAGTCCTGTTGTCTCTCGTCTTCTCGCCGCTGCTGTCACAGACCCTTTTTTTGAGTCTGCTGCTGCGTCTGCTCTCATTGCTGAGCTGCTTGACTCTGCTGCTGCCTGTCTTATCGACTACGCTACTACTCTTGTTGCTGAGTCTGCTTCTGCCAGTCCCCCGTCCGTCGGGGGTGAGTGTGCTCTTGGCACGGACGTCCTTGAGGACAGGCAGGAGGACTTTGAGTGTCTTGCGGCTGCTGTACCTCGTTTCGCTTCCATGCTGCTTGCCCTTGAGGGAGACCCAGATGCTCCAGACATCCCGACCCCGCGCTCTTACGCAGAGGCGATTACGGGTCCTCACTCCTCTCAGTGGCAGGCAGCCATGGATGCCGAGATGGCATCCTGGAAGTCCACAGGCACCTACGTCGACGAGGTTCCCCCACCTGGGGCGAACATAGTCGATGGCATGTGGATTTTCAGGGTGAAGCGGCCGCCGGGTTCTCCGCCTGCCTTCAAGGCGCGTTACGTTGCTCGAGGTTTCAGTCAGCGACAGGGAGTTGACTACTTCCAGACCTTCTCCCCCACCCTGAAGATGACTACTCTTCGGGTGTTGCTGCACGTCGCTGCTCAGCGTGACTACGAGTTGAACTCTCTGGACTTCAGCACAGCTTTCCTACAGGGCAGCCTGCACGAGGAGATCTGGCTGCACCGACCACCTGGTTTCACTGCGACGTTTCCTGCAGGTACTCAGTGGAGCCTTCGCCGGCCAGTCTACGGTCTCCGCCAGGCGCCTCGCGAGTGGCACGACACGCTGAGGACTACACTTGCGGCTCTTGGGTTTGCTCCTTCTACTGCTGACCCGTCACTGTTTCTACGCACCGACACCTCGCTACCGCCATTCTACGTCCTCGTGTACGTCGACGACCTCATGTTTGCCACTGCTGACACTGAGGCACTGACCCTTGTGCAGTCGGAGCTGCAGAAGAGACACACCTGCACTAACCTGGGTGAACTGCGCAGCTATCTTGGCTTGCAGATCACCCGGGACAGAGCACGGCGCACCATCACACTGACTCAGTCACACATAGTGCACCAGGTCCTTCAACGCTTTGGCTTCCAGTTCTCCTCGCCACAGCCCACTCGTCTGTCTAAACATTATAGCTTATACATTTATGTAGGCTGTAGTGGGGTAGCCCATAAGGGGTACAACCCAATTAGGGTTAGTACTTGTACCCAACTGTTTTCTATTTCATGCATTCTTGTTCGTTACTTTGATATGTACAAGCGGTACACGCACTGGGTTCTTCACTGTACTTCCCTTCCCTCCCCGAAATAGATGTGGACGGTCAAGCGGAGGGTGCGGCTCAGGCCCTCCGACCTACCTAGACCTAGTTCCCCTTTTCCCCCATGCAAAATTGAAATTTCTCGACCTGGCCCGACCTGGTTTCCCGTCGTCTTCCCTATTTCCAAACAGGTGGTTGGCGATAGGTAACCCGTTTGCCAAGAATTTCAAATGAGTGAACAGTTGACGGGGCGAGCGGTAACCACATCGCTAGCAGTCAACTCTGACGACTTACCGTGTGGCGCAAACGGCTAACGACAGCTGCGCTAAAGTCCGCAGTGTTTTATATAGTTTCAATTTTCTTTGTTTGTATAACTGTTTAGTATGCTTCTGTTTCATTGTAATATTGTTTTAGTGAAATCTGTTAATGATGAGGTTCTTTTTAGGGGTTTTTTTTTTTATATAAAAATGGATAAAAGATGTCTTAAGCTTCCTATTAAATGTAGTTCCAGTGGTTTATTTGCATATACAGTCATGCAAATGGCTAAATGGTAGAGCTTAAAATAGTATTTTCATGGGGGATTTATCCCTTTGTGGTTGGTTTTTTCAAAATATTTTTGTATATTCTGTCTCCCCTAGTACTCCTATACAAGTTTCAATCAATGTTGAACGTTGTCAAATGTTTGTACTTTTGGTTCTTGTTAGCTACCTCAAGTATGTTGGTGGTACTTGCTGAGTCATTCTCCAGCAAACATCAAGACTTTTTGTTTTTGTTTTTTTGCTTTGTTTTTTGTTGTGTTTCAAAGCGTTGTTAGGGTTGGAATGGCTTGTACATCACCTCTCTCATGTGAAACCAATGGTGGAACAAGGAAAATTTGTGAACATGGTTGATTGCTTGCTTGGGAGTTTTTAGCATTTATTTGATATGTTTTCTTAAGATGGCTTTGCATATTGCCTTCCCTAACACTCCTCGGCATGGTGTGATAATGCTTAATGGCTTCCATGGGTTTAGGGTAAGGCTCAAGGAGTCAGTGCTCCTGGAGCAGGCAGAGCTTGGCCAATTGTGTACTGCTCTTTCGATGGCAGCAGCCGGGGCACGAGCGGCAGCAGCTGATGTAGGTCGAGCCGCTACTGCAGCGGTTGTTGGAGCATTGGAGGATAAGTTTGCAGGGTTTATTGACAGGATTGGGGAGAAGCTGAAAGGTGTGGTGGAGCAGGCGATAGAGGAAGCGTCAAAAGGGGGGAAGCTGGAAGCCATCATGGCGTCCGAGTCCCTGACAGCCCTAGCAAAGGTTTTCGATAATAGTGTATACACACTGTGGGAGGATCTCAGAACTGCGGACGACAAAAACTAGCTGACTTTCACGGCCCTTCAGAAGGCTCTGACAGGATTGGCAGCAAAGCTCAAAGGGCCGACCGGACCTATCAGGGTCGAAATGCCACCCGCTGCCAGGGGTGAGTCCACACCACGGATTTTGCGAACGCAGCTCGAAGCAGACTCTCCAGACATCCCTATCTCCGTAGCACAAGCAGTCATGGGAAAGTTTGTCGCGACCTCTGAGGGAGAGGCAGGTGAGGCAGGTGAAGCGGGTGAGGCGGGTGAGGCAGGCACGAGTGTGGTAGATGTTGACTTGTTTGTGCCGGTGCGGAGAAACTGGAGAAACACGCTTGCGGCGAAGGAGTTGCAGAAAGAGAAGGAGAAGGAGAGGTAGGAGAGGAGGGTGGCCGAGGCTCAGAAACGGACTCCAGTTCAGAGGGAGCGAGCGACTACTGCAAAGAAGAGGCCGGCAGAGAGGGCGGTGGGGAATACGAGAATGGAGGGAGAGAGTGGGCCGGTTGTTAGCAGCGGGAGAGCTGGGTTAGCTGGAACAGAGCTGCAGAGAGAAAAGGAGTGTGGGGAGAGGGGTGTGGCCAAGAGAGCGACGGAGGAACAACGCAGAAATGCAGAGGAGGAGAAGAGGGTGCGGGAGGAGCAGGCAAAGGCGGCAGAGCAGGCAGAGAGAGCGGCAGTGGAACAATGCAAGAAGGCGGAAGAGGAGAAGAGGGTGCGGGAGGAGCAGGCAAAGGCGGCAGAGCGGGCAGAGAGAGCGGCGGTGGAACAACGCAAGAAGGTGGAAGAGGAGAAGAGGGTGCGGGAGGAGCAGGCAAAGGCGGCAGAGCGGACAGAGAGAGCGGCGGTGGAACAACGCAAGAAGGCGGAAGAGGAGAAGAGGGTGCGGGCGGAGCAGGCAAAGGCGGCAGAGCGGGCAGAGAGAGCGGCGATGGAACAACGCAAGAAGGCGGAAGAGGAGAAGAGGGTGCAAGAGGAGCAGGCAAAGGCGGCAAAGCAGAGGCGGGCACAGAAGCAGGCGGGGTTAAAGAGGGTGGAGGTTGAGTGTGAGCAATTTGCTAAGGCTGCTGAAGAGAAGCGGGTTCGGGTTTTGAAGCGGAAAAGGGACCTCCAGGCAGAGCGTGAGAGGATGAAGGCTCAGTTGGAGCATCTTGCAAGGTTAGAGGAATCCGCAAATGAGGAGGAGGAGAGGCAACAAAAAGAGTTGGAGGCAGAGCAGGAGAAAATGGAGATGGAGAGGCAAAGGATTGCGGCGGAGGACGTGGAGGGGGCAGAAAGGCAAGGGCCAGATGTGGAGGGGACAGCAGGGCAAGGACAGGATGTGGGACAAGGGCAAAATTTCGAGGGGGCAGCAGGGCAAGGGCAGCATGTGGTGGGGGCAGCAGAGCAAGGGCATGATGTGGAGGGGGCGGTAGTGCATGGGCAGGTAGGAGAGGCGGATGAAGGTGGGTGGTTCGAGATTCTTCGCGTGGTTTTGCTGGTCCTCGAAAATCAACTGGAAATTGTGGATCTGAAGGCAGAGGGTGAGGATCCATTACATCTGCCACGTGCCACAGTGAATCAGAGACGCAGCCGCCCTTGAAAAGGCCTCGCACGGAGCAGACGGGGACGAACTTCAACGCAGATCAGGGGTTTTTTGGGGCGGTTGCGTCAGAAGACCTGGAGAGGGGAAATGTGTCCGGGAATCAGAACGTTCAACTGATGTTGGGAGAGGCTACGGGAGAGATTGCACAACCAAGGAAGGTCGCGCTACCAGACGAGCTGGGGAAGCGATGGGGGGAAAGTAAGCACTTCAGATCGTTTGGTCTTACTACGCGTGAAAAGAAGGACAAGGATGGGGTAGTGGTGAGCCGTCATTACAACTCGGAGCAAACCGTCGGAGGGGTGAAGAGGAACATGGGGAGCTACAAGGAGAAAAAACTTTGCGGCTTCACCATGGCCGTCTGTTGGATGGCCTATTACCCCAACGCTGACATGGTGCATTATGGCCTGAATCCCGAGGATGTTGGATCGTGGGCGGTCCACCTCGAATTTGCTCGTGAGTTCCCGACAGGAGTCTGTAGTGTTATGAACGAATTGAACCTGGACAAATACGAGAAGTGAGTATCGAGTTGACTCTGCTGGTGGGAAAACATTTTCAAGATGCTCCCCACTAACCTTGAACCTACCCCTCCTTGGCAGTTTCGTCAACGTCATGAACAAATCATACGCACGGGTGAAAGACGGCGCGCATTTCGAGGTGGCTGTTTGCACGGGGATTGGACAAGCCCTGGTCGATGGAGGGGTTGGGGTGGTGTCCCCCCTCTTGAATGTCTCCTCCACAGTCTATGCAGAGGGAGTGGTTGCAGCCCTCTACACCCTGTGGTGTGCTTCGATCGGCATTCCCCACCAAGACTGGGGGGAGGGTGCAGCGGAGGCGGCACGTGGCACGCTCAACGAGCATAAATTTGCGAGTCGAGCAGCCAATACTGCTCAAGTCGGAGTCTGGGCTCTAAAAATGGTCAAGGACCACACGCACGATAAGGCTGGGTGGGAAGGGAAACTCCCCAAGGTGATCCTCAACATCCTGGATGCTGACGAAAACGACTCGGAAGTTGTCGAAATGGCTAAGGTGGTTTCGCGGGTGCTCGTATACTGGTGCGAGTGCTCTTTGGCAGCGCAGAGTCTGTGCACATATCAAGGTGGGATGCTCAATTTTCCCCAGCCCTCAAAAGGGGGACGGCGGAAGGCGATTGCGGGAGGGAACGAGTGATTCAGGTGGGGAGTGCAATTTCGAGTTTGCAATAGCTCTGTACAATAGTATGATGCATGCAGTGTTTTTCAAGATTTCTTTCTTCCTTGTAAAGCGTTTTCGGTTTCTTTGACCTTATAGGGCTTTGTACTATACTGCCTTAGACGCAAGGTTTTCGAGATAGATTGTTTCGCAGAGTTCCGAATTGACAAACGGATTGACGCATAATGAACAAACCAACTCTCTAGTGCCCTAAACCCTACAAAATTGTAGTGACAGAACATGTGAAAGTTTGAATTGTTATCGACGTCAAAACCTACTCTAAAGCTCTAGGTTCTGGCGCGAACTTGGAAATTCGAAAACATTTGTAAAAAATCTAGCCTAGACATAAGCGGATAGGAAAACCCCTACAATCGATAGAACGCTTTTGCATAAATCAAAACAGCGTGGCTCGAGTGCAATTCCAGTTTGCTAGAGCTGTGTAGCGTGGTTTGTTTAAACCGTTGGTTTTCCGAGGCAGATTGTTGCTCTGTAAATATAGCGCCCTGTGATTTCCAACTCTAAAATATAGAGAAAGGGGGATCAGAATCTAGAGAAAAGTACGACAAGTTGGAAAACAAGGATCAAAGTCAACAGAAAGTCAAGAGAGAGAGGTCAAGAGAAAACAGCTCTAACAAAGGACGATCGGCCCGACAAACAGACTTACAGCGGTAAAAAAAAAACACGGAAGAAACAGAAAGAATCAGCCACTCGAACTACTTCTTCAGTTTAGCCAGCTTCTGTGGCTCCACAATCTTGATGTTCGTCCAAGCATCTCCAAACATCTTCGTTCCCCACGCGTCGTTCTCCATCTTGGCTGCGAACATTAGGTAGCCGATCTTGTGGCGCTTGGCATCCGTCGTGTTCTTCTTAGGTGTCTCGGTGTCTTCCGTGTCGGTCCGTGGCCTCTTCGCAGGTGGCTCCTTTGCGAGAATCAGACCATCCGCCAGAGCGCTGATCGAACTCCGATCAACAATCTTCTTTTGGATCAGGGCAATGGCGGCCTGTGTCGCCTCTTCCAAATCATCAGCCCTGTACTTCTCGACGGTGAGCATCACGTTCTTCATCCGCTTCATTCTTTTGTCGCCAGTTTCGTCCTTCACACCCGTCTTGCAATACGAGAAGGTCGAGTAGAAACCATCTTCGGAAGCAAGCTGTCGCAGAGTCTTTCCGTTCATCAAAAAGGTCACCTTCATCCAGAGTTCCCATGCCTCCGCGATATTCTTCGAGTCCCGCCAGGGCTTAACAACAAGGTCGAAAAAATCCTTCACTGGAGTGGTGGCTGTTGGCTTTCCAGGCTTTGGAGCATCGCCACCGGCTTCCACCTTTGTCGACGAGCCCGTCCCTCGATCGGCAGCCCGTCTGTCAGCGTTGCTCCCGGCATGTTCCTTCAGAGCAGCGTTCTCCTTTATGAGCTGCTTGATTACAGCTGCCATCTTCATCAGACTCTTGTCGCATTCAGCGACCTTGTTCTTCAGCTCGCCAATCTCGTGCTGCATCTGACCAGATTCTGCTCGGTAAAAGCTGTTCTCTGCGAGGAGCTTCTTGTCAGAATCAGGAACGGAATGAATGAACTAGGCAGCAGGTGGGTACAAGTATGAAAACCTAAAAGTGTTGTACCCTGTATTGACTACCCCAGTACAGCCTAGATAGACTATAGCAGATATGTTTGACACACCCCCATAGGCAAAGTGGGGGAGAACAAGTGGTCACAAGACCAGTCAAGAAAAGCAAAGCAAGCTCAGGGTGGATCACAAAGTCACCACGCAGTCTGAGCACAAGCAAAGGGCCACAAGGCCAGTTCACATGCAGAGTTATATAAAGGAAAATAAACAAGATAGTGAACACAACCTAGCAAGTGTAAACATGCAGGTATAAGTATACAGAGTACAGTACAAGCAGAGTCAAGACGTAAGCAAGTGAGGCACAGTAGGTACAAGGCCAAGAACAGTGCAGAAACGCTGATGATCACAAGGCTGAAGTGCCTTGGTGAAAACATCAGCAGTGTTGGCCTGTGAGGCCACGTAAGCGAGACGAAGCTGGCCACGCTGCTGCAACTCTCAAGCAAGGAAGTAGCGCAGAGCAATGTGCTTCGTTCTGTGCTCCAGTCTGTGCTCCTGACACAAGGCAATCATGGCCTTGTTGTCGACGTACAGAACTGGAGGAGAACGAGGCGCCTCTCCCAAGTCGGTCAGCAGGTAGGTAAGCCAGCGTAGTTCCTGTGCAGCCATGGCCCCAGCGTAGATCTCAGCCTCACAACTAGAGCTGAGAACAGAAGACGAGCGGGTAGACCGCCAAGAGACAGAGCCGGAGCCAAGACTGAAGGTGTAACCCTGTGACGACCGCTGCGTAGCCAAGTCGTCAACCCAGGAGGCGTCTGCGTGACCAGTGAGGACAACTCGAGCCCGTCCTCCAAGCACTAGCCCCATGCCCGACGTACTGCACAAGTAGCGCAACACCCTCTTCGCAGCATCCCAGTGCACCTTTCGGTGCCTACCAGGAGCCACGTAGCGAGCCAGAAGGCTGAGAGGGTATGCGAGGTCAGGTCGAGTGCAGGTCATCAGGTACATGAGGCAGCCCACAAGCTCTGGATACGGGCCACTCGGCTCTACGGACTCGTCCGAAGGTGGAGCTGAGAGCAAGTGACCGGTAGGCAGAGGAGTGGACTGTGGCGAGGAGTACGTGAAGCTGAAGCGCTGAAGGACCTGCTGCACCATGTGTGACTGAGTCAAGGTAATGGTGCGCTGTGCTCTGTCCCGGGTGATCCGCAAGCCAAGATAGCTTGTCAGTTCACCCAGGTCAGTGCAGGTGTGTCTCTTCTGCAGCTCGGACTTCACGTGGGCGAGTGCCTCAGTGTCAGCAGTAGCAAAGACGAGGTCGTCTACGTACACAAGAACGTAGAACAGCGGCAGAGTGGTGTCAGTGCGTAAAAACAGAGAAGGGTCAGCAGTAGAAGGAGCAAAACCAAGAGAAGCAAGAGTCGTCCTCAGTGTGTCGTGCCACTCACGGGGTGCCTGGCGGAGACCGTAGACTGGCCGCCGGAGGCTCCACTGGGTACCAGCAGGAAACGACCCAGTGAAGCCTGGTGGGCGGCGTAGCCAGATCTCCTCGTGCAGGCTGCCCTGTAGGAAGGCTGTACTGAAGTCAAGCGAGTGGAGCTCGTAGTCACGGTGGGCGGCAACGTGCAGCAGTACCCGAAGAGTGGTCATCTTCGGGGTAGGGGAGAAGGTCTGGAAGAAGTCAACTCCTTGTCGCTGACTGAAGACACGTGCAACGTAACGTGCCTTGAAGACAGGCGGAGAACCCGGCGGCCGCTTCACCCTAAAGATCCACATGCCACTTACGATGTTCGCCCCAGGCGGGGGAACCTCGTCGACGTAGGTGCCTGTGGACTTCCAGGAAGCCATCTCGGCGTCCATGGCTGCCTGCCACTAAGAGGAGTAGGGACCCTCTATCGCCTCTGCGTAAGAGCGCGGGGTCGGGATGTCTAGTGCATCCGGGTCTCCCTCAGGGGCAAGTAGCATGGACACGAGAGGAGGTACAGCAGCAGCAAAGCACTCAAACTCCTCTTGTCTGTCCTCAAGAACGTCCGTGCCAAGAGCACACTCACCCCCGACGGACGGAGGACAGACAGACGCAGACGCAGACTCAGCAACAAGACTAGTGGCGTAGTCTAGGCGACAGGCTGTAGCAAAGTCAACAAGCTCAGCGACGAGAGCAGACGCAGCAGTGGACTTAAACAAAGGGTCAGTGACAGCAGTGGCTAGGACACGCATGACAGCAGGACTAGCAGCACGAAGGGAGTCAGACTC